ATACTGCTAAAGAGAAAGGTGTTACAGCAGTAACACCACTAAACAATCAATGTCCTGGCCGGGAGTGATCACCACTAATCAATCAATGTCCTGGCCGGGAGTGATCACCACTAATCAATCAGTGTCCTGGCTGGGAGTGATCACCACTAATCAATCAATCTCCTAGTTGGGGTGATCACCACTAATCAATCATTGTCCTGTTTGGGAGTGATCACCACTAATCGATCAGTGTCCATGCCAGGAGTGATCACCACTAATCAATCAGTGTTCTGATCGGGAATGATCACCACTAATCAATCATTGTCCTATTTGGGAGTGATCACCACTCATCAATCAGTATCCCGGCCGGGAGTGATCACCACTAATCAATCATTGTCCTGTTTGGGAGTGATCACCACTAATCAATCAGTGTCCTGGCTGGGAGTGATCACCACTTATTAATCATTGTCCTGGTTGGGAGTGATCACCATTTATCAATCAGTGTCCTGTCTGGAGGTGATCACCACTAATCAATCAGTGTCCTGGCCGGGAGTGATCACCACTTATCAATCAGTGTCCTGGTTGGGAGTGATCACCACTTATCAATCAGTGTCCTGTCCGGGAGTGATCACCATTTATCAATCAGTGTCCTGACTGGGAGTGATCACCACTAATCAATCAGTGTCCTGGTTGGGATTGATCACCACTAATCAATGAGTGTCCTGTCCAGGAGTGATCACCACTAATCGATCAGTGTCCTGGCTGAGAGTGATCACCACTCATCAATCAATGTCCTGTTTGGGAGTGATCACCACTTATCAATCAGTGTCCTGGCCGGGAGTGATCACCATTTATCAATCAGTGTCCTGGCCGGGAGTGATCACCATTTATCAATCAATGTCCTGGCTGGGAGTGATCACCACTAATCGATCAGTGTCCTGGCCGGGAGTGATCACCACTCATCAATCAGTGTCCTGTCCAGGAGTGATCATCACTTATCAATCAGTGTCCTGGTTGGGAGTGATCACAACTAATCAAACAATCTCCTGCCTGGGAGTGATCACCATTTATCAATCAGTTTCCTGTCCAGGAGTGATCACCATTTATCAATCAGTGTCCTGGTTGGGAGTGATCACCATTTATCAATCAGTGTCCTGTCTGGAGGTGATCACCACTAATCAATCAGTGTCCTGGCCGGGAGTGATCACCACTAATCAATCAGTGTCCTGGCTGGGAGTCCCTCCCTGTTTTGGCCATAAAACTGAGGGGTGGTCTAATGGGGAAAGGGATATACCAGCTTTTATTTTTAGCGACCTTCACCATTATTTGATTTTGTATTTTATCCTTTGAATTACCTTTCCTGTTCCGAGTATCATATGTACTGTACGTGATGAACCATACACTCATTTATTATACTATGCGCCTATCTGACGCAAAGAACGCATGTCTCGCCCCCATATTGATTGTGACCTTCTTTTTGCCAGGAAAAGCATGTAAATCTGATTCACATTGAATCCCGGAAGTCGAAGAGAAGGAACTCGGAGTTCGAGATATTCCTGGACTGTGACAGCAACAGAGAACAGCTGAATGAGATTGTCCAACTGCTCCGGCCGCACGTCAACCTGATCACCATGAATCCTGCGGACAGCTTCTGCGTGGAGGAGGATGGTGAGCAGACCGGGATCAGTCTTCTGGCAACTATGGCACTTGCTGGGATGGCTCAGGAAGGGAAAAGAAATGATGGCGCACATCCAGAATATCCTTTCCCTTTATTTGCCATAAATGCCAGGATTTGATTCCACCTATGCGACTCAATGCAATATAAAGCGCTGCGCAAACTGTTGGCGCTATATAAATCCTGTATAATAACAATAATAATATGAACCTTAGGGTGCCTGCAGGCAGATCCTGATCCTTATACCCCAATACACTAAGGTGCTGGGATATCCTAGCCCTATGGTTACAAGTATTTTTTTTATTTTGAATGGATGCCACAGGGTTAACCCAGTGGTGTCCATTGTAAATAAAAAAAATACTTCAACGTTGTCACCATAGGACAGGAAGTGTGGTAATGGCAGGATCATCAGGGTGAAAAAAGGGGGTAAAAAAAGCCTAAAAAGAGAAATGAGAGAGAATGAGAACCTTCACAGGCATAAAAAAAGAAAACGAATGCAGCTTCCGCATCTAAGAACTGGTTAGCTGAAGTACATGGCATTTTTGTAGGAGAATTTCACCCATGGGGTTTGGTGGAGTTTATGAAGCTGACAAGTACTTACATGTCAGCTTTATAAGCTCCACCCCATGGGTGAAATTCTCCTACAACAATGTAATCTGTTTCAGCTAACCAGTTCTTAGATGTGGTGGCTGAATTAGTTTTATCTTTTTAGACTTTTTCCCCCTGATAATCCTGCATAACACACCTTCTGTCACAGGGTGACAATGTTCATTGACTGTACTGTATCTTTGAAGGGAGCCATGGCTGCTCACTTGATACGGACATTTCCTCTTAAGTGTACATAGAGCCAAAACCTTTTCCACATTTTAGGTAAAGCAAGGTAACATGAGAACACCTGGCATTATTTTTTTAATTGTTGTCTGTCTGCTAGGCAGATTTCCCCTCTTTATTTGTCCTGGAGACCATTGTCACTGAGACAAAAAGTAAAAGGGAAATCCAACATTTTTGAGTTGTGACCAGAACAAGAGATTAGAGAGTAAATCTACCAATAGGGACCCCTGTTTGGATGGTGACTGTGGGAAATTTCCTTCTTTTTGTAGAGATATCCTCTCACTTCCTGTTGCATCTCCAGAACAGGATGTGAAGGGAAATTTACCCAACCAGACACAGACAACAACAACAAAAAACAACTGACAGGAATTCTAAACCCTTCCCTGCTCTATCCAAAGATGAAGAAATAAAAATGCTTTGGCCCTACATACTCCATGAAGAGTACTTTCCCTTCAAGTGTTACAATGTTGAACGCGTATTAATAATGTGGGAGTAAATTTTAACATAGTTTCTTTTGTTTCTCTATGTTGTAAGACATGGAGAGTGTCCCGTGGTTTCCCACCAAGATATCTGAGCTGGATAAATGCGCAAACAGAGTTCTGATGTACGGATCCGACCTGGACGCAGATCATCCTGTGAGTAATGATGACAGAAAGTATCGCAAAGCAACGACTCCACACACTGATATCATATAGATGTATTCATGGTACTCAGCCCAGAGTATTTTTCAGATCATGGAGATGCATTGGTACTCAGCTAAATCCTTTTCTTTTAGTCTTTGATATATTATTAATATATTTTTTTTAAACCTGAAAAATAGGTTTTAATTTTCTTTTTTTTCAACAAAGAAAAATTAAATTAAATTAAAAAAATCCCTATCCTGTGATAATATTGCATATTTTGTATCAATAGAGTTTTTTTCACATTTCAAAGGCTTAGTTTGGGAATTTTAATAATTAAAGGGTCAGGTCACCCAAAGCTGGTGTTTAGTACCCAGATAGCAAGGATAACTTGCCACAAACTTGTGGGAGGGTTACATTGTAATATTTGTTAACTTGCTGCACACATTCCCTGGCAGGTTGTAGACTTGCAGAACACTCGCAGCACAAGTTCTAGGCGACACTTTTTGAATTTGTAGCAAATTTGCTTGGCGAGTCTACAGCAAGAGTCCTGCAGGTCTTATGCTGGGCACACACCTTACAACCATCGCAAGACTTTTGTCTTGCGATGGTTGTAAAGTACTTAAAAAAACGTACGATCTGCCTATCTTGCATAGGCAGATCGTACTTGCGGTGATCGCAAGCCACGCCCCCCTGAGAGGCGGGCTTCCGATGACCGCAATGCCGAACGCGCAGTGTGCGCTTGCGCACACCGGCCCGTCTGGCTTTTATCTTACGAACATGCTACACACCCGCCGAACATCGTACGATGCTTTGCGGGTTTTCGAACATGTTCGTAAGTTTAAAGTCGTGCGACCTTACAGTAGTAGAGGTCGCACGGCTTCCACACACCTTACGATAATCATACGATCGCAGGATTTCCCGCTATTATCATACGATTATAGTAAGGTGTGTGGGCACCCTTAGCAAGAACTCTGCGAGTGTACAGCACTTTTGAGAAGCACGTTGATCTGGAGACTTGCAATGCAGACTCGCTGTAATTGTGCAACAAAATTGTGAAGCGCGGCAAGTCTAGCAATAGTTTAGCAAGTCATTTTCTTGCAGCTCAATTGCTTGCTATCTGGGAAGATGCTGGAGGCCTCCCTAAAATTCTCTTCTGTCTCTCAGGGAATCTGTTAGTGGGATATCTATGTTGAGCTGTTGGCTTTGCACACCTACTGTGCCCATTATGAGTTGGCTCCCACCATCCCTGCCGTTTTTTGTATTTATTTTATATTATGGAGGATGTAACAGGAGAAGGTGGAACACACAGAGGTGAGGGGGACACCCAAAACTCCATGGTAGATGGGAACAGATTCAGGAATTATGGCACAGAGATCTCAGTGTTGTTTTATCCAAGTCATAGTTAAGTAGGGAGCTGACTCCTACTTGACTCAAATTATAACTAAAATATCACCGAAATTTGCTTACTTGGGTAGCAATTACATTTTGTTTTTTTTACAAAACTAAAGTTTTTCTATAAAATCTTTTCTTCTCTTTGTAGGGATTCAAGGACAATGTGTATCGCAAGAGGCGGAAATATTTTGCAGATGTTGCAATGAATTATAAACAGTACGTACATACACATGACGCGTTTTTGTTGATATTCATCCTGAATTATACCACCAACAGTGTTTACGGCACCAACCGCACCGCATCCCCCACCTTTAGCACACATTCTGCCTTTACTCCCCTTTTTTCAGTTGCCATTGCATCTGCAGCCCCCTTCTGTCACCACAAATCACAGCTGCACCCCCCTCCTCTGAACAGCCCCCACTCTCTCTTCCAGCACGGCACCTGTAAAGCTTAGCTCTACTTTATCTGTAAAAAAATAAGTCAAGGCAACTGGACTTGCTGTATTTTTCTTGAAGACGTTTCACTGGACATCCGACCAGCTTTCTCAATTCTGTAACAACTGCCACCATCCTACCTGCATACTGTCTCCCTGCTCTCATCACCATGCTGGCACCACAACCACCACTCCACTCCCAATACCATCTAATTCACCCCATTAGTCCATTCTAAACACCCCACCTGCACGCCCCTGGTTTCCCCACTGTGCCTGCACCCCCTGCTCTTACCACTGTGCCTAAACCCGCTCTGACAACTGTACATGTGCATGCTTCTCACTGTCCTCCCTCCATACCTGCACCCCCCTCCCCCTCTGCACTGCATCTGTGTGCTTTCACCCATTCCTGCTCTCATCACCCCTCCTCTCACCAATAAGCCTTCACTGCCACCACCTCGCCTAAAGACCCATCTCTCACCTCATTCCTGCACAAAGTGCCCCC